ATTTATGGAGTTTCTATCTGGCAGGGAGATTAAGAAGAAAGGAAATTTTATGGACCTGGGATTTAAATTATTATTTTCAAATGCCCTTGAAGCTTTCAGGTAATATTGGAAATTATCTGTCTAGAAAATGATTCTGTATGAAGTATAAAGAACTAGTATAATTTTATTCAAATTGTTTATTTCTACTTTTTAAAGAAGCATTCAACAGGACCTCACCTGACCATATATTATATATTCATTTATTGTACCTGGTGTTATTGGGACATGTACATTTTAATATAATGTTTACAGTAGTCCCCTAGCAACATATAAAATGATTACTTTGAGAGTTAGCCTTTTCCAGTTATGGTATTATTGTATTATTTATTGGTATGCATTTGCAGAAACTGTCATTTATATGCATTCTTTCTTGAGTTATTATTGTTATGTTATTCTCTGTTAGGCCTTTTATAAGTTATTTTTCCCCATATCAGTCTCCCTAAATAAGATAGATAGAAGTGAAGATAGTATGTTTAGAAAAGAACATCCAATTTCACAGACAGAACACCTACATTAGCTTTTCAGGTTTTGTGACTTGATGTTCCTGTAGCCAGTTTAACTAGCCTGCATAGTAATTGGCAAGATGCAGGTATAACACCTAACTAGTTCTCTCAGAAGCATTGTGAACCCTGCATTTATAAAATTCTTAAAATTTTAATATTAATGATTTCTTTGTAGTTTTAATTTTAGCAAAAAGTATATACAATTAATTTTAATGAGTTATTGTGTTTATGTAATTTTTAAGGATCTTAGTTTATTAATAAATGGGGAGATATCCTTTGAAAAATGGAAATCATTTTGAATCCAATATTGGATGGATTAATGGAATTCATCAATGATGTATTAGATAGATTAAGCAGTGGTTCTCAACCTTCTGGCCCTTTAAATACAGTTCCTCATGTTGTGACCCAACCATAAAATTATTTTAGTTGCTACTTCATAACTGTAATGTTGCTACTGTTATGAATCATAATGTAAATATCTGATATGCAGGATGGTCTTAGGCGACCCCTGTGAAAGGGTCGTTTGACCACCAAAGGGGTCACGACCCACAGGTTGAGAACCGCTGGATTAAAGGTAGGTAAGGTTTAGTAGATTCAGTTGACTTAATGTAATTGAAAACATATTAGCTAAGCCTAAAGTTTACAGATTTACTTAGGGAATAATTAGTGAAGTTTAAATGTAACTATTTTAAGATGGTTAAATTTAATGGTCAGCTTTTTTGTGTGTGTTTTATTATTGCAGCACCTTAAATTCAAGGAAACAAATCTTGCAATGCTACAACAGTTTAATGCATTAGCACAACTCCATCGTATTGACCAGTTGACAATTGATCCTCAAGGAAATCCAGTTGTCAATTTTACACTCTGGAAATACTATGTACTATTTAGGCTGAGCCATTTTAATATGCAGAAAATAAATGGGACAGAGGTAAGCCTAACACTAAGTAACTGTGTAACGAAAGGGTTCGTTTTTAAGGGAAATGGTCATACAAGTGGTCAGGAATTTAAGTAACCATGTTGGAATTTTTGAGAAATATTGTAGTTGTTTTTCCCCAAATCTTGACAGTTAAAGTGTCAAAAAGCTAAAAACTATTTATTCTAAATCTTCTAAAGCACTAGAAAATTTTGAAAATAAAATAGTAACCAGGTCATGATGAATAGTAAATACTTCTTTTACTGTTGTTTGTAAGCATTCAGAGATGTAAAAAGTTGGTAGGTTGACAGTTAAAAAAAAAAAAAAAAAAGGAGAAGCCCAGCTGTGTGGCTCAGTGGTTGAGCATTGACCCATGAACCAAGAAATCACTGGTTTGATTCCCAGTCAGGGCACATGCCCGGCTTTTGGGCTTGATACCCAGGAAGGGGCATGCAAGATTCATCTAATCCAGTGGTTCTCAACCTTCCTAATGCCACCACCCTTTAATACAGTTCCTCATGTTGTGGTGACCCCCAACCATAAAATTATTTTCATTGCTACTTCATAACTGTAATTTTGCTACTGTTATGAATCGTAATGTAAATATCTGATATGCAGGATGTATTTTCAGGGGTGGCAACCCACAGGTTGAGAACCGCTGAAATCGATGATGTTTCTCTCTCATCAAAGTTTCTATCTCTCTCCATTCATGATCTTTGAATTTTTTTAACTAAATCATTATTGTTGAAAGTATTACACATGTCCCCTTCCCCCCCATTGACCTCTTCTAGGTCCCCTCACCTCCCGCACCAGGCCTTCACCACACTATTGTCTGTGTTCATAGGTTATGCATTATGCATACAAGTTCTTTGGTTGATCTCTTCCCACCCACCCATCCACCCCCACCTTCCCTCTGAGATTCCACAGTCTGTTCCGTGCTTCTGTGTCTCTGTATCTATTGGTTTATCAGTTTATTTTGTTCATTATATGAATGAGATCATGTGATATTTGTCTTTCTCTCACTGGCTTATTCCACTTAGCATAATACTCTCCAGGTCCCTCCATGTTGTGTCAAAGGGTAAGAGATCCTTTTTTACTGCTGCATAGTATTCCATTGTGTAAATGTACCGCAGGGTTTTTTTTTTATCCACTCATCTTTTGATGGGCACCTGGGCTGTTTCTAGATCTTAGCTATTGTAAATTGTGCTGCTATGAACATAG